GAGCGGTCGCGGAGCCTCACCGGGGAGCTGGGGGGCCGGTCCCAGGGGCATGCCACTCGCTCCCCCGCCCCACTGGGCGCCTGGCCCCGACCCGAGCCCCCTGGATCGCTCCGCAGGACGCCCGAGCCCGATGCTGGCAGCGCCGAGATTTGCAGGCAAGTGCTGCCGCGGCATAGGGGTGGGAGCGGGGCTGTGGGCACAGCCTGGGCACGGGGTGGCTTTTGGGGCCATGTGGCCCTTTGAACCCTGCGTCAGAGCATCCTAATCCACCCCTTGGGGCGGGCTGTGGCGTTTTCTCAGGGTGGGGGGTGTCCCTGACCTCTTTCTCTGGGGTGGGCATGGCCCTGCATGTCCCCATTCCCCATGGGCGGGCAGGGGAGCTGACGTGGGTGCCCCTGGGTGGGTGTCGGCAGGGCGGTGGGGGCCGGGCAGGAGCGGCCGAAGGCGAAGCACCCCTGGGAGATGGAGGAGCAGCCCCAAAGGCTCGGCCGGAACCAGGAGCAGGGCTGGGCTGGCCCCCGCAGGGTGGGTGAGTGCTCCCTGCCCCTGCATGGTGGCCCTGGCCCCACCACCCCGGAGGCACCCAAGCCCAACCCTGGAGCAGTGGATGAGGCGAGCTGCCAGGGAGGCCGGCCCCAGCCCCGCCGTGTGGACTCGGAGGAGCTGCTGTGGGACGTGGCGGGCAGGGACCACTCCCTGGCTGGCATTCTGGCCCCCTTGGCCCCCCTCGGCACTGTCACGGAGGTGATGGGTGAGCTGCTGGTGGTGGGGGAGCGGCAGGCCTGGCGGGAGCGTTTCCAGCAGGACTGGAGCCTGGAGGCCCTGGCGCAGGACAGGTAGGGCTGGCGCGGCACCAGGCACTGTGCTGAGGACAGGCTGCACCCCGCCGCCCCCGGCGCTGAGCCCCTGTCCCCGCAGGCAAGGCTTCGAGCCCATCTCGCCACCCCCCGGGAGCACTGCCATCTCGACCTCCTACCCGGCATATTATGGTGTGGCAGCAGGCAAAGCCGAGCCGGTCGGCAAGGTGAAGGAGCTGCCGGAGGTGGTGGAGGGAAGCTCGGAGGACGAGGAGGAGGAGGCAGACCGCGAGCTGGTGGAGAAGGTAAAGCGGGCACTGCTGGGGACGATGTCCTCAGGGTTCCCCACTGCCATCACCAGGTGCTTGTGGGGACTGGGGGCATTGCCAGATGCTCGTGGGGACCAGGGCATCACTGGTTGCTCGCGGGAACTAGGGGCATTGCTGGATGCTCACAGGGGCTGGGACATTGCCAGATGCCTGCGACGACCAGGGGCATTGTCGGGTGCTTGCAGGGCCTGGGAATATCACCGGATGCTAATGGGGACCAGGGGCATCACCAGATGCTCATAGGAACCAGGGGCATTGCCAGATGCTCACAAGGACCAGGGGCATTGCTCAGTGGTTGCAGGGACTGGGACATTGCTGGATGCTGACAGGGACCGGGACATCGCTGGGTGCTTGCGGGTACTGGGGTCATCACTGGGTGCTCACAGGAACTGGGGGCATTGCCATATGCTCACGGGGTCTGAGACATTGCCAGATGCTCGCAGGGACTGGGGGCATTGCTGGTAGCTCATGGGAACCAGGGGCATCACCAGATGATCATGGTCTGTGGGGCCCAGTGCAGTGTGGCACACCTGACCTGTGTGTCAGTCCCCCAGTCCCAACGGGGGGTGGCCCCAGTCGCCCCTGACCCCTTCCCACCGGCAGCTGCAGCTGATCGAGAGCCTGAGCCGCAAGCTAGCAGTGCTGCGGGAGGCACAGCGGGGGCTGCAGGAGGACATCAGTGCCAATGGGGCGCTGGGCGAGGATGTGGCTGCCCGCCTGCAAGCCCTCTGCACCCCGGGGGAGTTCGACAAGTATCGCCTCTTCGTGGGCGACCTGGACAAGGTGGTCAACCTCCTGCTCTCCCTCTCGGGGCGCCTGGCCCGGGTGGAGACCGCCCTGGGCAGCCTGGGGCCGCACGCCCCCGCCGAGGACAAGGTGGGCATGAGGCAGGGGGGTACCCGTAGGGTGTCGGGGTGCAGGACCCTCCGCCAATGCCACCCATCTTGCCCGCAGGTGGCCCTGCGGGAGAAGCAGCGGCTGCTGGCGGCACAGCTGGAGGACGCCAAGGAGCTGAAGGAGCACGTGGGGCGGCGGGAGGAGGCGGTGGGTGCCATGGTGGCGCGGTACCTGCCTGCCGAGCACCTCCAGGACTACCAGCACTTTGTCAAGATGAAGTCAGCCCTCATCACCGAGCAGCGGGAGCTGGAGGAGAAGATTAAGCTGGGCCAGGAGCAGCTCCGCTGCCTGCGCGAGAGCCTCGGCCAGGCCCCCAAGGGCTGCTAGCCTCCTACCCAGCCTCTCCTGGAACCCTGGCTGTGGCCCCAGCTTGCTGCCAAAGCTGATCTGGCCCCTCGGGGGCTCTCCCTGCGTCCGTCCGTCTTTCCAGCCCCTGCCTTTTATTTATTTTTCCAGTTTACTGAGCAGGGGAGGGGGTGCCAGTCCAGGTGCTGGTGGGGGGGGGTCATGCCACAGAGCTGCCCTGGGCTCTACGGCCACCCAGCACCCTGTGTCCCAGCAGGACCAGGTGGACAGATCCTGCTACCCATCCCCTGGGTCTTTCTGTGCCCGCAGGGGTCCCTCCACCTTGTCCTGGACACCAGTGCCTGTCCCACAGTGGGTGCTGCACCATGTGCCTTGAACACCCCCCCGGCTGCCCCGGGGCATCCCCACACAGCGCCTGGAAGGGTTAAACCATCCTCGCCCTCCATCATGTCTGTTTGTCCAGCTCTGTCCATTCCATCTGTCCGGTGGGAGCTGGAGGAATTTTGGCCCCCGGCATCCTCTTCCTCTCCATTGTGTCTGAAACAATGGCCCTGGCTAGCGGGTCCTTAACCCATTCCTCACTGCCCTGAGGCACCATGGGGGACTGAGGTGGGTGCTGTGCACCCCTCTCCCAGGGGACACTTCGGTGGGTGCCCCTGGGATGGTGCCCTGCCAGGGGATGGGGTGCTGGGAGCAGTAGACTGGGGGCTGTAGGTACCCCCTGCCACCAGTGCTGTGGGCACGGGGACCACCGTCCCTCATCCAGCCCTTGCTTCCAGCCTCTGCCCCGGCACCGGCAGGGATTAATAGAGGAAAAACCACGCTAAGGATGAAACGGGCCATGTGTTCCCCTCGTCTGTGCCACAGTGCCCCAAATAGCACTTAAACCTCACCCTGGGTCACCCCGCTGCCCTGCCACTGCCTGTCTGTCCCCACGGGACGGGCAGACGCCTCGATGCTGATTTTGCACAGGGGTTTCATGCAACCAGCAGCAGCTTGGGGGGGGAAGAGTTTTGGGGAGGCAGGGTGGGCCCCAGCCCCTTTAGGGGTGGCCACAGCTGGGCAGCCCAGCCCAGGGTGCAGGTAGCACCCATGCCTGCCTGCTCGGCAGCACAGCAGCCCCTCCTGCATGGCTGCTACCCCTGTGCCCCCCCCCCCCAGCCCATTGAACACTACACCCCACACCTACCTGGCCCTACCCTGGGACAGTGCCTGGAAGGAGCAGGGCGCATGCACCCTGTCTCAGCCACCCCCTCTGTGCCTGCCTGGGGACACTGCTAGGACCAAAGACTGCACCTGTTGGGAGCTGGGGGACATGCTGCTCTCCAGGGGACTGGCAACCCTCAGCAGGTCACCGTGCTGGGTGAGGGTGCCAGTGCTGGGTCTTGTGCCTGGCCGCGTGCCGTTGTGCCTCTTTCACACTAAAGGAGCAGCAGCAGCTGCACTACTGTCCAAGTTGTGTCTCATGTGGTTTGTCCCTGCGTCCCCAGCCAGTGGCACTGGGGCTGGTGGGTGCCCACCATGGGGGGGATGCCCCAGCTGGAGTGAGCCAAGCCCTGGAAAGCACTTGGGACCCAAATGCCCTTGTGGCACTGCAGACACCTGGAGTGCAGCCGTGGGCAGGGGGGGTCCTCTGCACCCAGTGCCACCAGGCTGGGTCTGAGCAGGGGGCAGTGGCTGGACCCCTGCCAGGGGCACATGGAGGGGGCACAGTGCTTGGGTGACAGTTGTAGTGTTGTACCTGGCACTCACAGCCACAGCATTGCTGCCGGAACGTTTGCGGTGGCACCGGGGATGGGATGGCCCAGTGGGGGTTGCCGTGTCCGGCAGGTAGTGTGGTGCTGCTGCTGCTGCACTGGCTCTGGGGTGCCCTGGTTCACCCCAGCGTGGCAGGGTGGCACGGGTGGGCACGGCCACTGTCCCCTTGCTGGTCAGACGCCTTCCCCAGGGCCTCTGCGTGCCAGCCGGGCACCACGGAGTGGGGCCTGGCACCCCGTCCCCGTGTCAGGGCAGCGCGGGCCCCCTGCCCATGCCTGGCAGCCCCACCACGCCGGGCAGGGCTGGGGGAGCCGCGGTGCAAGGGCAGCACCGGCCGCTGGATGGCACCAGCACACACGTGTGAGCACATGCACAGGGGGGTGGACGCGTGCGCATGCACACACGTGGGTGCATGAGTGCAGGTGTGTGAGGACATGCACGTGTGAGTAGGCACGGGCGTGCATCGGTGGGTGCATGCACATGTGTTGGAGTGTATGCACACGCATGTCGGCACAGAAACACGGGAGGATGCTTGTGTGTGAGCCCGTGCACGTGCAGGTAAGCACATGTGCACAGGGGTGAGTGTGTGAATGCATGTGAGCACACACCAGGGTAAACGCATGCACATGGGAGCATGTAGATGAATGGCTGAAAGAACACTGAGTTTAAGCGCATGTGTGCATGGGACAATACAGGCACATGCATGTCAGTGCGCACAGGTAAACACATGCACACGTGTGTGAGCACACACAGCTGAACATGCACACACACACACACAGGTGAATGCATGCACGCATGTGTGAGCACACATGCACACAGAGGTGAGTACGCGCCCATGTGTGTGAGCACATATGCACAGGGAGGAGCACAGCCCCATGCCGGGGAGCCCAAGTTCCAGTGGTGAGTGACTACACATGCAGGTGAACACACACATGGGTGAACGTGTCCACATATGTGTGATGTGCACCTGTGAATGCATGCACATGTGTGTGAGCACACACAGGTGAGCAAATGCACAGGCAGGTAAGTGCACATAGGTGAATACGTTCACATGTGGGTGAGTGTGTGTACGTGTGCATGGGCAGGGCCTCTTGTGCAAGTACATGCATATGGATAACCGCAGGCACATGGGGAGGGGGACACATGCATGTGTGTGTCTGTGCCCCATGGCCTGTTTGAGAGACCCGCTTGCCCCTCCATGCAGCTCCCACTGCTGCCGGGCAGGACTGTGGACCCAGGGCACAGGGGCACGGCCAGGCTGCTGGGTACTGAGACCCTCAGTACCTGCGCTGGATGTGGCCATGGGGTGGGGAGTCCTGGGGATCCCTGTGTGGAACCCCAGGGGAGCTGCAGGCCAGCAGGCTCATTGTAGCATGCATGGCTCCTGGGTTTCCCAGAGGTGCAGACAGGACCCAGACACACCGGGGTAGCCCCTGGCACTGCTGTCTGTCTCCCCATCACTATAATCTCTCTGTTTTACAGATCCCCAGTCTGTCCCCCCCATATCCTGCACCCCTGGTCCTGAGGGACCAGGAGCTGGGGGAGGATGAGGACATGGTGGGTAGTGATGCTTCAATGAGAGCCAAGCCCTCCCGCCCCATCCCCCTGCCCCACATGGGAAATGGGGAGGCCCAAAACATGGAGGTCCAAATCCCGCAGCAGCCCCTCCTGCCCCCCCTGCTTACTACAGCCCAAAGGGCAAAGCCATGCACAAGGTAGCGGACAAGGGAGCCCCAGGCCCCCTGCCCCTGGGCATAACCCATTGGGGGGGTGGGCTGCAGTTTGGGGGGGATGTGGGACCCTTGTCTGCGCCTGGCTGGCTGCCGGCATGGGGGTCCCAGAGCAGCAGCCGGTGAGCGCTGGGCACTGGGGGCCACAGCACCCTACGCTGCAGGGCTGGGGCCCTGTGCACACCGCAGGGTGGAAAATGGGGCCAAACCCTCTCTCCCTCCCAGTGATGTGTTTGGGGGCATACCCCCACGTGTGCTCACATGCGTGTGAGCTCTGGAGCATGTTCGTATACAAATACACCTTTGTAGGGTGTTTGCATGCATGCAAACCATAACATCACAGAACAGTTTGGGTTGGGAGGGACCTTCCCAGACCGTCTAGTCCAACCCTCCTGCCATGGGCAGGGACATCTTTCAGTAGATGAAGTTGCTCAAAGCTCCGTCCAACCTGACCTTGAACACTTCCAGGGATGGGGCATCCACAGCTTCTCTGGGCAACCTGCTCCAGTGTCTCACCACCCTCATCAAAAAACATTTCTTCCTTATGTCCAGCCTAAACCTACCCTCATTCAGTTTAAAACCATTGCCCCTTGTCCTATAAGGTTTTACAGGCCCTGGTAAAAATGTCTCTCTCCATCTTTCCTAGAAACCCTCTTTATATACTGAAATGCCACAATAAGGTCTCCCCAGAGCCTTCCCCAGACTGAACAACCCCAACTCTCAGCCTTTCTTCCTAGCAGAGGGGTTCCAGCCCTCGGACCATTTCCGTGGCCTCCTCTGGACCCACTCCAACAGGTCTATGTCCTCCTTGTGCTGGGAACCCCAGAGCCTCGACCTGCTGGCCACACTGCTGGTGATGCACCCAGGATACGGTTGGCTTTCTGGGTTGCGAGCGCACATTGCTGGCTCATGTCCAGTTTTTCATCCACCAGCCTCCCCA